AGAGAGAGAGAGAGAGAGAGAGAGAGAGAGAGAGAGAGAGAGAGAGAGAGAGAGAGAGAGAGAGAGAGAGAGAGAGATGAGCATGGCCCCTGCACAATTCAGGATGACACACATAAATCGAGAAATGGTCTGATTTCTCAAAAACAAGTTGCCAGAGCGTGCATGATGAGGGTGAGGGGAGAACGTTTTGAATGGAGGCAGGAGAATGGAAGGAAAAGGAGATAGGAACCTGGGAGTAACAGCCAGCCTCCTTTTCTGCACACAGATGCACTGCTGAGCAGGCATTCACCAGCCCATCAATTTGAGTCTCCGTCAAATCTGATAAACGTGAATCTTCTGTGAATTTCGCCCGCGCAACTGCCTTTAACGCCGTTGTCGACCAATTTCCATACCAGTCAAAAGTACAACAACTAAGGAACGACCTGTATGTATGCAGCATTCTCCTCACTCCAGCCCCACCTGAGCCACCTGTGCTCACACAGATTGCCTGTCATCACCAACAGTTTGCTATTCAGTTCCTGTTGAATAGCAACCTGCACCCATTGCCAGTGAATTGAAGGAAAAAAATACCTATAGTTCTGAGAAAGGCCAACACTTAATAGGATAATAATGACACTGCAGCAACGGTTCGTTTTACTGACAGGGAACGTCCCCCCAGCCAAATGGCCGACCTTTGAGAAAAGGACCTTTCCTTCCAGCTGCTCAGACAATACAGCCTGTGGACAGTTTGGAAGAGGAGATGTCGGTTGACACACGATCGACAACACCCAACTGCCTCTCCAGGAAGCTAAGGAGATCTTCAGAAACCTGTCGGAATCAGACATTAGAGCGCAATCATGCCACAATGGAACAAGATGAGGAGAAAGATCAAGCACAATCCAGCGGACGCCACTCGAGCAGTCCTGGGACAAGGGTGGCAACGATAGAAGGCCACAGACTGGTCTACAAATGGGGTCACTCGTCAAGCAACTCGAGGGATGAAGGCGGAGACAGCAGAGCAGGAACCAAGCGTAGGAAGCCCATAAGGGAGCCAGGGGCAAGGAAGCGAGCAAGAGAACACGAGGAGGAGGTCTTGAGCCGAAACATCAACGTGGGAGGAGAACAGAGGTAAAGTAGGGTTCAGGGTTTAGGGGTCTAGCGAGGGGCAAAATAGACAGTAGGCTCCGGGGTTTAAGGACGACTGGCCTAGGGTTTTATCTCCTTAACAGATTCCTATTTGATAGTTTTTAGTCCAGTTCTGAAATTTTGAAGTTGCAGTCAATGGGACGCTGGACCCAGTTTCCAGGACAAGCCTAATCTGGGTAACGGCCCAGCTGTATCCGGGTTGAGATGTTGAGGGATTCCCGGCCTCATTGTAATTATATAATAATAAAATTGCATCTTTCTTTTAAAAATAATAATAATAAAAAAAAAGGAAACTTTAACTTTGAGACTGGTATTATATTCCCAATGTGTCCGATGTGGATCTCCAAGCCATAATAGGGAGGAGTGTGTGTGAGTCCCAGCTGTATCTTATCTGACTTGCCAGCGGAAAAGGAACCGGACTGCTGCTCCCCATAATATAATTTTTAAAAACTTAAAAAAAGGGCAACAGCTTGAGAATTTTAGAAATCTGTTTTTTTTTTTTTTTTTTTTTTTTTTTCGGGAAACCATCCTGTGACTTCCTGCGGTCCTGGGGTGATAAGAGCACCACCAGGATTGAGGAGCTGTTGCGGATGGCTCCGGTCCACTGGTGGGGAGCGGCACCTGCCAGAAACCGGGTCCAGTGTCCCTTCAAAAAACAAACAAACAAACAAACAGAACCTGTTGATTCCGGCTCCTTTTCCATTCTGGGGAGCATCAGTCCGGTTCCTATTCCACCGGCAAGTCGAAAGAATTTAGTAATTTACAACAAAATTAAACAAATAGTAATACTCACTGACGCTCCTCCCCTTTATGGTTGGAAGGCCTGAAGTCCGGCTCCTATTCCCATCTTTCTTTTTTCTTCTTCTTCTCTTTTTTTTTTTTGAAAAATTTTAAATTCCCCCCCCCCCTTTTTTTTTTTTTT